TATAACGTCCAACGAACATGCTTTTCATTTTAATAGGTAATAATTATTAACAATAAGCAAATAATTAAACTAGTTCACCAACCGACACTATTAAAAAATCTGTATAATAACAGTTATGATACAAAATGTAATCCTCATAGCAACGTTAACGTAGGAGAAATTCTTTGAATCAAATCAAGTGAGTGTCGTCATTCTTCAATTGAAGCAGATGATTATAATAGAGTGGCTTGTCATCATTCAATGAGCTATTTCTCTCTTTAAATCACCACCTGACTAATATTGAATTGTTGACATGATATCATGTCGTTATCTATTGAAGGGTATTGAAGGAAGTAAAGATTTAGAGTCATTTATTATTATCATCAGTTTATAGAGATGCTGAAGTGAACATAGGGCCCTTCCAAATTAGCACTCACTTTTGGTCCATTATGTTGTTTTATGCGTCTTGTTTTTAAGCATATCTGAATCTCAGACATAGTTTGAAAGTCATGGTACTGAAAATTTCGAAAAATGGTCTCGATTGTTGTGTGATCCAAAAATTGTAAATTGGTAACCCAAGACTCTGGTTTCAGCCGGCAGTCTCCTTTGCGTCCATTTGGACAACGCATCATACCGGGCCCGATCCGGATCTTATGACCTCTGAACTGAACTTTATAAGTCAACTGGCATACTCATGTTACTCTGATTACTTAAATTAGTCAGAAACAAAGAATAAGTGCCTTAAATGTTTCTAGAACCTAAAAAATAAATCTTCTATTTATAACAGCGTCTCTTTATTTCATAAATAAAGTACAACTTATTTTTAACCCAAATACATTTTGTTCTCTCCAATGTGAGACATTTTAGGGACCTTCAAAATTGGAGCTCTTCAGAAAACATACGTAAATAAATCTTCGGAACTCAATTATAATACAGAGGGTGATGATTTGCATGACGTGCATTACCTACATCACATTAATCAAATCAGAGCAGGAATCCCCAGCAATGCTCACATGTCACACCGTGCCGATATAAATCTCATTACAATACCAGAGCTTTTCTTAGTAACCTTATAGGGTTCTTTTAGGGATCAAAAGAATTTATTTAGGTTTTGATTCTAAACGTAGACTATTTGAGAAATATTGAGGAAGCTAAAAGTATTTTTTGGCAATCTAAAGAGATCTCCTATATTTAGGATCTGAAAGTAACGAACGAGTTAGTTACACCTACAGAATTATGTAGCCAAGAAAAATCTTATCGATCCAACGAAGCGGTAACAATACAATGTAGTTAGATACAGCGGATGCATTAATTATTCTATTAATATTTAACGACGAAACGCATTGTCCTCAAGTCTGCATCCTTAGATAATAAAGAGTCCAGCGATCCGCGCGTGCGCATGATTCACAAATATGGCGACTGCAACATGGCCGCTCGGTAGCGGGGATTGCATTATCCATATTCGATAGTGAGGTGTGCCGTATACGTGATCGGCAACATGTTTTTAATCACGATACCTTGATTGCTAATGTCTCGACATCTTAGGAAAGTCTAGTACACGCAAGAACATCAATGAATACTTAGAACTGAACTGTAAAAGGTTCAAGTTATGATGAAAACAACGAGTTACGATGAACATATCAAATATAATAATATTTGTGTGTATGTTCATGTCTGGTTGACACTAAGCCTAGGCTTAAATCATTGGACGGTCACCGTAATCCAATTTCACAGAACACGTGGTAAACAATGCTACGAGTATAATCTGGCTGGCAACCAGGCTTGTCGCGTGTAGTGTGTGAGCTGACTACGACTTGACTTGCATAGATTTTCTAGTGAGGTTTTGAAAAGTATTGATTTTTTCATTCCGCACTTCTGTTATGATTAGCGCAAAATCAATGTTTGCGAGCGCAATGAACTTTTAAAGCCCAATTAAAACGACACACTTTGCTAGAAAGACAACACTTTCAAATAAATTATCCTTAACTTGAATAAACACCCGCATCTGCGTGTGGTCGGATCGTAATTTTTATCCAATAAATATGTTCTCGATCGGACCGTATGGTAGGTCGGGCAACGCACTCATTGGGAATAATAATATGGACGCTATTAATATTAGTAAGCGAATCGTCCATCATACATAGCGCATTTTTAGTTAGTTTTTTTAATATTCTTACTTTTTGAATGTCGCACTCTAAAGGTCAGACTGATCATTGAAGTTAATGAACATGATTGTGTTCTTATTATAACATTATATTATAATACTTGCATAATGTTACTCGAATAGTAAAAACGTACCGTATGAATGAGTCACTATATGCCTTGAAAGTAATATGCAGTTTTAGCCGACATTGGCAGCAGTAAAGGCCACCTATTGTAGTTTCACTTGAAAAGGCTGTAATAGAGGCATAATTGCCTTTCAGTAGCCGCCGCACCGTAGATGCCTCATTTCTATCGATTACTTCCGCAACATGGAGTCGTTCAAGTTTTTAGAAGACGAGTAAAATCTTCAGGGTGGCAAAAAAATGAATCTTTCCTGATTTCGTTTGGTTTTAAAGATTCACAACAAAACAAACAAAGAGAATCTTCAAAACAAAGAATGTAACAATTTTCCGCACAATAGAAGAAATTCTCGCTTTGCTCATTCTTTCAGATATAATGGCAACATTTACAATACTGAGAAAACTGGTGCACTCATCCTGTCCTCCATTACCCGTCATAATATTGTTATAGCAATCAAGTATCGGAACTAACACAATTTGGTAGACCTTACCATCCGGGAGTAGCTATCGATACTTGTAATTAACGACCTTACACTAACCGAACTTCAATTATCGTTGTCAGTGACAAAAAGTTGATTGACTAGGCCAGAGAAAAAGTTTGCGGAAGAACCGTGAGATTCCTGGTCGGTGATGAACAGGTGTTCTTACTAGATTTAGAGTAATCAGAAGAAAGAATCTAGATTCACGATTTGTCTGGTATTTTATATAGCTTGCATTGCAAAAGGTGATTCAATTTGTTGACAACAATGGTAACAGTTGTATTAACTAAGACCATAAATAATTCACCATACGATCGAGTGTCTCACGGTCCATTAACTGAATAATATACAACTGTTTTTGAATTTAACTGGTAACTAGTTACCTGCCATCTAACGACACAATAACGTTAACTATTACGCTTTTATTTGGAAGCAATGGTCGTAGTAATATTTTATAGCGTATATAACTAAATAATGATTGTTATACTAATAGATAGTTAAACTGCGTTTTGTTATGAATTAATAAAAAAACCTACAAATAACTATGCACAATGAATAAAGCAGACTTCTTTTTTAAGAGTTTAGCTAACAAAGTATTTACTTGAATACTCCTTTGTAATTTAAAAAGCGTGTTAAAATGTCTGTGGTTAGTCACTTTGAAACAAAGGATGGATGAGTCAAAGTTAACTTACCTATAGAAAGTTTATCAAAACGGATATTTCAGGTTTATGAATTCGGTTCCGTTCCGATACCTTTATCATGAATATTATAATCTAAGCGACAATTTTCAAATTCTTTCGTTAAGGTTAGAAAGATAGTGAATGAGTACGAGTACCTAGTCTAGATAATTCGAAAAATGTTGGATGTCTCTATATTGTAGTTTTTTTGCAATCTCTGATTCACTCTTTCATTAAAAATTACAATTACACAGATTCTTATCAAATCATATCTTTAAGGTCTCCAAAATGGAATAATTGGGTTATTTTATCAGTTACTAACCTAGTTATTTGACTTTGTAAGCGGTATTACTCACCCACTTACAATAAATTTGATATTCCGAAACAATATTTGAATAATAAATTGTAAATATATTTGACGAAATTCCTTAATTCATACCAAAGCAATACGTTCTAAGACTTCAAATCTAAGTTTCTTTTAAATTTCAGTATTTAAACAAAAAGAGGTTCTAACACATCTAGTGGTGAGAATAAGGTGTTGATGTTATACTAGGTAGCCAGCATTTGAAATAGGTGAATACATTTCGTTTGATTTTTAAAATAAGTAATTCGCTTTGGTTACAGGCTTACTGTTTGTAAGAACGTAAGACCTAGATAGTGCTGATAAGACTTTTGTATTCAATTTCTGATTAGGGAGCATATAAAACGTTATTAGCTGCTATCTTGTTTTTACGATTGTTTCTAATTTTCAATTTGATATGAAATTACGAATTTTTTATCAGACAACTTCGGCTTTCGGAAGATTTCTATTATGAACTTTTCAATGATTCGGATAGTCGGTACATACATAGATAACTAGGTACCTACCTATAATGTAATATTAACGTTGTAATTATAAATATGCAGTTGGCAAGGGCTCGATAGCCTGACAATGAAAGTATACAGCTACTAAAGTACAACACAACATGAAGAATTTATATGCGCAGTATAGAATAACTTTAATTTATACATATAAAAACGAAAAAGGGTGAAGTGCCTGCACCTTTCTCGTTACGAGAAATTGAATGAATGCACCATGGTCGAGTCGGTGCACAGTTAATGGCGCATAGATTACGATAACTTATCAAAACAGGACACCGGTAAAATAATATTCTCACTATACAAAGTAGGTAGGTTGCATTATGTAGCACAGTGTGTAGAGTTGAGACCTTCTCATGATCCGGGATACTTGAGATGACCTCAAATAAAACCAATTTGGAATCATTGATAGCGTATTATTTAATTATTTGTTTTTATTAGGTAACCAATAAACGAAACGTTGATAGTAACGAAATATCCAACTTAATCGGTTAATTTTTCAATGTAAATGGGAACCCATTAGTACAGGTATGTGTAGCAAGCACTCATATGTTATTACTTACACATAACTTACATAGGTACATCAATGTTTACTAATTTTCACGTCGACGTTTCAAAAACAAAGGACGCTCCGCGAAAGTCTTGAGACAAGCGTTATAACCAATCACATTTCTTAGCCAGCATTGGAAATGATTTACCCAAATGTTCAGAAAAGCATAACATACTTACAATATGAAGCATACTATGCACAGACAGCTGTTGAATTCCCTTCTCTTCGATATCGCCCCAACGCCGAACGAAAACACAGCACTGTTGTTTATTTAGTCTATTTAAAACAAGCTTTAACGCTCCATATAATTACTCCATCATCATTATCAAAATTTCAACGCACAAATAGCTATAATGAAATCAAAACAATTACATACAGCAGTATTATTTATTTTCGTCGACTGTTAGAACTGCGAACGCACAGTTGTCACGATAACGATGCGACACACGTCTCGCTCGCTGATGTTCTCAGAACGAACTATTTTATTTTGTTAAAAAATTCTCGGATTTCTTGATGTACCGAAGAATGAACATAATCAACAATAGAACGAATGATTACAGAGACCGAATGGGATACATTAGACATTTATCAGTGTTGCCATATGCCAATGAAATGTTATTATTTTATTCGAATAATAATACTTTTTATTGATTAATAAAACAAAAATCCACAAAATAATAACCTGGGAATATTTAATTAAATAATGTTGTAAGTTGTTATTAACGACACTAGAACCGAGCAAGGCTCTGTATTTGTGATCAGTACTTAATAATGTTCGCTTTGTAAACGTTTGCCAGGTTTTACTTTCCATATTTCTCAACGTTTAGTTCTTAAAATAAGGATTAGTTTAATTTATAATAATGTTTGTTGCAATAACTAGAAATATATTTTGAAATATTTATAATGATTTTTAAACATTGGTCATGATTTTGACAGTTTAGGTTTCGAAACGAATTTTAATTGATGGCAACATAAATCTTCCGTCCATTTTCATTTTGCAAACTTAAAAAAACGACGACGAAAAAGAAAAAGGCATTTCTTTTTGTCGGTTAAAATATTGCTTGTTGCTGGATAATGTGAGCTAACTATCATTTATGTTGTTTAGTTTTAATAAACATAGTTTTAACAAGAGGAACTGTTGATAATACCTTGGTAACGGTAAGTTTCCTGACATTTGATTGGATTTGTTTGTAAAGTGAGAAAGTGACCGTTTGTCGGGCGTTCGCAGTCGGCTGAGATGCGATCCAATTTCACATCTCGATGTAAAACGGGCACAGCTATAAATGAACCGGCTCGTAATTAACTATTTGTTCCGCAAAATTGGCCAGGTAGCCATGATAATATTGGAAAGCAGGTGTCGTTAGGTCGGTTGAATCACCGTTTCTTACGTCCTAACGTATTTTGTGACTTGTTTAATTGGTTGTAGTTGTTCGAATTGTACACCTACACACTAAGAAAGTATAACAATGAGTCCACGTTAGTTGGTGTTTAGCTGCACATTGCATGTATGAGTCAGTTAATATTCATTGATATTGTAATTCTGCAGTAGGTGTATTGCATGGACATTGTTTACCATAGTATTGTTCTGAGAATATTGATAACTCTGCATGGTATCTGAAGTTTTGCATACAATCTTTGTTCAGCCCTTATTTAGTAAGAAACATTCATGACCTTGTTAGGAAAACTGCAATCTTGTGCTAAAAGGTCAAATGCAATTTGTAAATTATTCACATGTAATTTTATTCAGGGCTAACTTGAATCCTTTAAAGGAAACATGTTTACAAGTCTCGTACCCACATAAGGTGTTTCTTATTTTTACCCTCATTATACCATAAACTGCGCATAGTTATTGACTAAGATATAGGTTTATGACTTAGCTTCATATCATGATTTGTCGTTAAATGTAATTCTAATCTAATCTCACTGAAACTTCGAATTATAAATATGAATGAGAATTTCTGAAAAAATAATTACTTATGTATTTGTTTTGTAATTTGTAAATAAGAATCTCATTTCCAATAAAATTCTAATTGAAATCGTGCTAGATAATAAATTGTTCTTATTATTAACCTTTTAAACTGTCAAACACCAAGCGGTCACCGGTGACCGCCACCTATTGTTCTATAATTGTGTCTATAATGACGGTACTCGACGAGTTAAATGCCATAGTCGGCTATAGCCAACAAGAATACATTATTTTTATGTGCGTTCAGTTTGTTGGCTATAGCCAATCGCAGCAGTCAAAAGGTTATAAAAATCGTGAAAAAATGCAGTAAGCGGAATATGATGCATATTCGGTTCATAAGTGTATTTATTATAGGTAATAAATGTACTTATTTAACAATTTTGTAACACAAATACATTCATTCATGGGAACTCTAGCCTCTTTGCAATAGAAAGACAATCATGGATTACAACTTTTTATATTAAACAGGTGCAGCTGCAAGAGCATAATTTGTTTACATTATGACACCTATCAACTTGCTGATGTAAAATATGTACCATTTCAACCACTAGTTTTTCATCTTCTGCTTCTTTCTTTTACCTTTCTACCATTAACTTACATTTAACCTTTTTGTCAACAGTTTTGAAATCAAAATTTGACATTGACATCACAAAATGGAGGATGAGAATGAATATAAGAAATTGCCGACGGATGAGAAATGTGTTCACAAGTTATGGAAGGCCAGGGTCGCAGGATACGAAGAGGCCATCAAGTTATTCAACCAGATTGATGATGAGAAATCACCGGAATGGAACAAATACTTAGGATTGATCAAAAAGTTTGTTACGGACAGCAATGCGGTGGCTCAGGAGAGAGGTATGTGCAAAACTTCATATTTTGTTCTTTTTTGAGTTATTTGGGTTCTTGGTGATTCATAAATGTCAATGGGCTGGTTGGACCAGAGTGATACTGTGGCCTCACAGAGAACTGATGTAAAATGACACTTGTGTTGTGTTTCCTCATGTGAGTGAACCAGAAGCTCGATTATCCCCCTCCCCAATATCTGTATCCCCAACAATTTTCATATTGTTAATCCTCAGAGGCCGGTAACATACTTGTAATGCCTTGCTTACGCACAGGTGATCGGTCTGATAGTTTACCCGCTTATCTCATAAAAGAATTGTGTCTTAAATAGTGAGTATCTTCATGTGCATCATTTAAATGACGCATATGATTATGATAATTATCTAAACTACTTAAACAAGTATTTCTTATCATTAAAATAATAAAACATACAATGAAGTGACATAGAAAGTAAATAATATAAAAATATTTTAGTTGATAAGTTCTTTTGAAATATGTGTCATGTTTTCATTGACTCAACATCAACAAATATTTAAATTAACTACACAAAAATATTTATTCTCTAAGAGAAAATAAAATAAACCATTTCTTATTGATATTTTTATACTGATGAACATCCTTATGCTGAGGGATTGTTATCAGAGAAATCATTATTGCGTTATCTAACCTATGATGTTAGTTACCAAACTCTTAATTTACTTACAGTCCAATGGTAAATGACATTTCTTTTCATTTAAACAGTCTCTTTTCTGATTCAAAGAGTTTCCTTAGGGAGTTTACCTTTTAGTAAAAAATAGTGAATCAATGAGAAAAGGTAGTCTGTAAAAGTGTAAATTAAACCAATACAAATCCGTTTCCGTGTCCAATAGGTATAAACTAAATTATTTTATAAGGTATATTTATAAAAAAACATGTTTATTTTTGTTATAAAAGCAATTTATATTCCTATAACTATAAATATTGTTTTTTTTGTGAAGACATTTAGTTATGTTAATGGTATTTTTTAACAAATACCTGTTTTATTTAATACATGCTAGAAATTAGGTTGGTTATGTAATAAATTGTAACAGTATCAAGATTAAGATTGTCTATATTTATAATGTAGTATATTGATATACAAAAAAATCCTAGAAGTACATCAATACATCTGTAAAACATTATTACATTAGTTAATACATTGATATATCGTACCGAAAATTTGTTCATACAATAGTAGTATCTAACCATTGGAAATAAGGTCTATAATGGAGTTAGTAGAGAATGGTCACCTGTGATTGCTTGAGGATTGAACAGTTAATCAAAAATAGCACAAATAGATCTCACTATGTTTAAAATGTTACTAATTAGAATCTATTTGGATTAAAATCTGACTTTAAAATGTAGACTGAAACATTGTTTTATTAAAAAAGGGTTTAGGTTCAAATAAAATAATTAATCATTCATTACACACACACACACACCAGAATCGATTGAAATAAATTTCTCAAAACTTGCGAGGAAGCATGGTATCCCATACACAGATCCAAATCCAAACTAATATTATAAATGCGAAAGTAACTCTGTCTGTCTGTCTGTCTGTCTTTGCTTCACGCCTAAACTACTGAACCGATTTGTGTGAAATTTGGTACAGACATAGTTTGGAACTTGAGAAAGGACATAGGGTAGTTTTTATTACAAAAAAATAATAAAAAAAAATATTTCGTACATACAGCGCCATCTATTGGTCAAGAGTCGGCATCAATTCAGTACTGAAAATTCATCGGGAAAATCCAAACTTCCAAATCCAAATCCAAACTATCCAAACTATCCAAATCCAAATCCAAACTATTTCCAAACAAATATTATAAATGCGAAAGTAACTCTGTCTGTCTGTCTGTCTGTCTGTAAAACTATTCCATGAAATGGATTTCAATCAAATGGATTCAGTGATTTAAAAGATACAGAGTCCCCGAATTTTAACGCATATGCCCGTTGCCATGAGATTTTCGGAATAAAGACTATCATACTTCGTTTCCTAGGTGTCAAACTATCGCTGAACCAAATTTTTACCCATTTCAAAAAAAGGAGGAGGCATTATATTCAGATGATTATTTTTTTTTGTTTGTTCACCAACCGCTGATCTTATTTAAGAGAGATTCTGTTGGGATTGTTTATTTTTTGAAATCATGAAAATAAATTCATTTCACAATAAGTATAACCTAAGTACTGAATGAAGTCTGACGACATTTTTTTGTTACCGTGGAATGTACCTTGGTAAAGTCTAATTCAAAAGCCTAAATTCGGCCAGAAGTCATTCTGCGCGGACGAAGTCGCGGGCAACAGCTAGTATTCAATAAAAATCCTAGATAAGTAGGTACATCATTTCACATCAGTCGTTGTTTATAAGACGTCATAGAAATCAGAATAGCATCAAGTAAAGCAAGTAGTTTGCATAATTCCTTAGTAATTGCTCAGTTAAAGTCAATTGAGGGTGTCTGGCTTAAAGAGTTATTGCTTCCTGTAGCCATTACTGTCGCTAGAATGGTATTGTAGCCTATTACAATATGGCTTCCTCGAATTATTTCTGCTAAGACGTCACTTGCCTTTTTATTTTGTGTCTAATATTTGACTTAGGTCATCGTGTGGGTGGTTTATCATGTGGTTAGGGCAGAATAAAATGCATTAGTCACCAACCACTGTTATTCTTCTACAATTGTAAGACCCGACGAAAAGACTGTTACAGCCGTGACCCGTCACTCATCAGTCATCATGATCATTGGACAGAGTTCATTCTTCTGCGTTCACAAATAAATCTGATCTTTTTGATTTGCAATCTCAAACCCGCTTTATACGCGTGGAGATTATGGCAAAATCTATTATGTAAAGAATGAATGATTTCAAAGCACCAAACTCCTCTAGTCTTGCGAGTGTCCATGGGCGGCGCTGATCGCTTACCATCAGGTGATCCGTCTGCTCGTTTGCCTCCTATTCCATAAAAACAAAAGACTGCACTTATCTCAATATCTCGTTATACCGTTAACCTCATCAATAATGATACAAAATATTAGTACCGGGCGGTCGTCGCACCCGTGACATACAGTGCATTAACTGATCGCTTAGCCACGGTACCGACCAACCGTGCAGTCTGAACTCCAAATGAGATTCCCATTCAAATTTGAAAATTAAGAAATATTCATAAGTGCAAAAAGAACAGTTTTAAAATAAGACAATGAAACTTTAAATGAATGATTCTAGAATACTCTCTGAAATCGTTTTGTGTACCTATTAAATGTAGCATCTTTTATTAGTACCGTTTAAAATCATTACCCGTAGTCGTGTGGCGAAACCGATTCGATAACAAAATGGTTTCAATTCGCAATTCTTCATACCGAATACAAAAGCCACATAGGGGACCCAGTTTTTGGTTAATGGAATACATATTCTTATACAGGTTCATCGTAACTAAGGCAAATAGTAATGGAATTTTTCCCTCTTGAATGTAAAAATAGTTTAGTAGATTGTTTATAGACTTATTCTTGAGGCCATTTCAAGCACTAATAAATCAAAGGCTAACTACATTTGGCCTTTGTAAACAATTCTTAGCTATGGATAGGAGATTGTATTCTACATTTGTTGTAGTTATTTTATAAGAGCCAATGTCCCCATGTCATTGAGTCATCGTCTATAGCGAGCCTAAACGAGTAAACAAGCACTAGTCTATGGCTAAGACTATTATGGTCTCAAATTACTTGGAAGGGACAATTTCTTAGTTTTTTTCGCCTTTATTGGGGCTGCAATAGATATTACAAATGGCATAATTTCGATGTATGAAGAAAATTGTTACAGAAAACTGAATTATAGTCTGGAACAACATAGGCTACTATTATCTGGGTAACGCAGACAAAAGTTTGGAATAACACTGTCTAAGTACTTACCTCCCGGTAACGCAGACAAAACCGCTGATGAGCCTAGTAAAGTAGTTTAATGCCTTACCTCTAATTCTATCAAAAATGTTATTAGAAACGGTACTTAATGAAGCAGGTTTTTTATGCGGTAATATATATCTGTAATGCTTACTCGATTCAGAGTTTAGACCTAGTCTAAGATCATAATTGAAATGCTTGCCTTACTCGTCATTCGTATTCGATTATACTATTTCGGATTGAAACTTTCTATAAATCGATTTACGTCCAATAAGTATTACATTTCACGCAAGTGGTTCGAAGAATTTTATAGACATAAATATCTTGTAGGTATATGAATCGACTTTCTAGTTAGCCATAAAAGGTCATTACCATTGTCATTTGGTGTGTAGCCTCATATGACTCATTTTAAATTCGGTATTTATTTATAATCCAATTCAAAATGTCTCCGTTTGCTACGATTTGAGTAATTATCGCAAGGTTTCCTATGTCACATGTTTAATCACATGCGAAGTTCAGCTTGTTGTATGGTATCGTCACGTGACGAGTCGAAACGTGTGGGAAATAAGTAAATAATAAAGATGAATGAAGTTTATACTTTATCCAGTTATAAAAAGTCGCGTTGTCTTTACGTGAATGACACTCCAATTGTTAGTATTATTGAAGAAAGGTGTTCCAATGTTTGGTTCATGTTGTAACTGAATTCCTCTGTTATATGCAGTACGGATGTGATAACATCAAGTCTATTCGTATGCAGCTTCGATAACATAGAACTTGGACTTTGAATGCATCAGCCGTTATTGAGATTTAAACAACTGCGAAATAAGGAAAAAATAAACATAAAATGTGGTTATTTTTGCAGACAGATACGGATAACGGAGCACGCAATTATGCACTTTAATCTTTTGCGTTGTTGGCGATCTACTCGTATTGGCTGTCGGCATCAAAATTCGGTCACAGACGACTGAATATGCGTTGCATATTGCTTACACATACACATACCTACATCTATGTAAGACGTGTATTGCAAAGAAGCAAAGATTAATCTTTCACAAAGTACATTAACGAACGATACACATAAACTAATTCTCTTTAAAAGGAATTAAAACAATCTTTTAACAAACTTGTTCCAATTTGATAACAGAAATACCGATCAATGTTAATGTTTTTTCATTGTTTGTGCGTTACCGTCGACACACTACACGTAAGGGCGTCGACCGATAAATATTTTCACGGAAACCCTTCAGCCACGCAATGGAAATTACTTCAAAGTACTAAGTATGTATTTGAAAGGGCTGAAGTTGAACTTAAAATCCATTGTTGATATAGATTTCAATTGAGTTAATTATTGAACTCGATGTAGGGATCAAATGACAGAGGGCGCCCTTGAAGGGTTGAGTCGTGAACACTGACCTCATAAGTGAAATCCTTTTGAAGGTTACTTGTTAAATACTAAATACATACTTGAAACGAGAAACCATACTAATTATGATAAATCTGACACTTTGAAAGATACTTATGTTTTTTAAGCGGGCCTGTCATTCATAGAGGATATTATTTACATGCACTTAAAATAGTACATTTTTTAATGATTATTCATACAACCGCCGTAGAAGTTTCCATGAATTCATCTATTTAATATTGGACGATGGACTATTATAGCAATCCCAGGATTTTAAAAGAGAATTAAATGTTTTAATTCTTGTCTTAGGTTTGGAAGCTGCTCTGGTGTTCGTTGAGAACTGCGGGCATGCCGGAAAAACGACCGGCGAGGTGATGTCTGGCATTGTCGCCAAGTGCATCGCAGCGCCCAAGACTAAAACTAAGGACCTTGCACTACAGGTTTGTAATATTTGTGTAGATGCACCTAAACGAACTCTAGGATTAACGTAACATGCCTGGTGAAAATAGGTGTTACATTGTATATTGCATTTCTACCCCTACCTTCGGCGTTAAAAAGGCGTTGCGTTATATCTCCTTTGTGTTGACGTCTTCTAATAATGATGATGCCTTATATCTTCTATAGGTAATACACCAGCAGATATCAAATACATTGCAAAACCACACTTAAATGTAGATAGATACCCAATCTGCAAAAAATCTAATAATACCTATTTTGACTAGAACCAAGGCTAAATGCTAACTTTATAGTCTCAATGTACTACTATACAAATAACGTAGGTCGCTTATAGTTTTGTAAACGAATGCGCAGTAAAATGAGATGGTATTCAATACCATTGACCTCACTACTAAAACAGCATCTCCTCATAAGTAGCGCGTCCAAGACTGCATTCTGATTGTGTTAACAGCTGTTAAATGATACCCAGTTATGGCCGAAGGTCTTCGGTATCGAATCAATTGAATGATTTGCCGACAGAAGATAACAATATAATAATGATGTTGATCTTATCTTTTCATCATGGTCGACCGATCATATAAAAATTGTTTTGCGTCATTGCTTCTTTAGTCGAAAAGTCGCCACGTAAAGGGCGTTACGTTTGATTCCCGATTACCGATTATAGTGCATGGTAATTGGTAACCGATCCCTATTACATGAAACATATAACAGTAGAAAAGCTTTTCATTTTGGGCTTATATAGACCTCTACCTAAATATATTTTCGCAAAATAAAAACTGATGTTGCATGTAAGGGACATACCACTTCTTCGGTATAACTTTTCCTTTCTACATTAGCATTAGCTTACAAAACTTTAAATGACAAAGCGTAGTGACATCAGATTTCTCATAAAACTTCAGAGACCTCATAAGTCACACCTGGGTCACCCATGCATAACAAGGAAATTAAACTACAATACAAAAGTATTACCACAATACAATTATTATTTTTCATATTAATTCCGTTTATTAATACTGTGGTTTGCTTAACCTACTTTCGGTTCAACATAAATTGCATCTAGGTCAGTTTTAAAGTGAATAATTGAATGTGTCAATGTCCTATGATCGAATACAATGAACCTGGCCTGATTTTCCTTAAGATATTGAAAAATTAATTATGATACACAAATCAAACGATGAAAATATAAATGATGAAATATTACAATGGCAAAAATAATTTGTAATCTGATTATTATAGGACTACTCAGGTCCTAGACTTTACAAGAATTTGAATTTGGTTGATTCTTAAAAAAAATAAATTCACAATAAAATAAATAACGCCTTTTACCCCCGAAAGGGGTACCGCCTCCGCCTTTTACACATTACGACACTTAATGCACCTGTACATTGTAACACCCACTTTTCACTATTTCTGTTAAGAGTCCTATGTAATAGGGGGTGAGCCTAATGCAATATACCGGACACATTTCTAGACTCCATGCTACTACTGAGAATTTTATGACCCAGTAATAATTAGCCCGACCCGGAAATCGAACCCGAGACCCTTTGCCAAGCAGTCGTACTTGCTTGCATACATCATCAATCAAGGATACTTTAAATTTATTTAAAAAAACGAAACTCTTTACAGATAACATTAATGTACGTAGAAATAGAAAAACATGAAATCGTGGAAGAAGAATTGATCAAAGGTATGGAACAAAAGAATCCCAAAGTGGTGGCAGCTTGTGTGTCAGCATTACACACGGCATTGAAACAATTTGGTAACAAAGTGATAGCCATCAAACCTATGGTGAAGAAGATCCCTGTATTATTGTCAGACAGAGACAAAGGTGTGCGAGATGAAATGAAAGCTCTCGTTATTGAAATGCACAGGTAATTTGAATTTTAATTATATTGCGATATGATACAAAATTACGATGTTATATTGTTCAATTGTGGTGCAGAGAAAATATCAACAAAAATCCTTTGGTACTATAAATATGAAGTCAAAATATCCTTATATTTTGTTGACTATGCATACCAATTCATACTGTCATACTAATGAAATATATCTCATCGCGGTGGCATGTAACATAAATATAAATTACTGAGCGACGCGCAACTTGCGAGTATCGATATCCACAAAGTAGCTATGAGTGGCATGCTCCTTTCTTTTTACTGACTCTGACTTTTTTGACTGATGAAACATCTGTATAAGAAAACTGTTTCAATATTTATAAGAAAGTAACAAACTTCTTCCTCAGATGGATAGGAGCAGCCATAGAGCCTCACATAGCGTCCCTACAAGCAGTGGTACAGCAGGAATTGAGGGAGTCGTTCAGCGGCACCGGGGGAGGGGCGCAGCCCACCCGGTACCTCCGCTCGCAGCAGAACAGGGTGCGGGATACTCCTGCTGCTGACTGTGCTGATGGTAAGGATATTGGTTAAAGTGGTATTAGCAAAATAGTAACAACAAAACTATGTGTAATTAGTAATTAAAAATTTGTTAGATATTTCAAAGTTTTAACACGTTAAACGCCATGGGGGTCACCGGTGACCGGCGTTAGCGGATGATTTACCTTCAACAGTTTTTTATTGGCAGTCAAAGTCTTAAGAAAGAAATTTTAGAAAAAAATAAAAAGACATCATATTAGGATAGTAATGAAAGATTTTACTTTGTCAGATATGATAAAAGTTGTCAGCTGTCTCAATAAAATGTAATTCAGGGTACCAAAATTAATAGTAGACAATTACATTGTTTCTTATTCTTTCTATAAACAATATTTTAGGGACGACAGAAGACGACGACGCCGAAACTGGCGGCGGAGACTCAGGGGACATGGACCCTTACGATTTACTGGACCCAATGGAGATCCTGTCCAAACTGCCGAAGGACTTCTATGATAAATTGGAAGCCAAGAAGTGGCAGGAGAGGAAGGAAGCCCTAGACGTACTGGAGAACCTCCTCAAGTCCGCTCCTAAACTGGAACCTGGAGACTATGCTGACTTAGTTAGAGCTTTGAAAAAGGTAACATTCATTCTATTATAGGTGGTATTTTACCATATAGGTGTTGCAAAAGAAGTGTGTTGTAAACACCTTTTAATTAAAACCAGGTGTCCAGTAGTGTGTGTCCTATTAACATTAGGACTGAAAGTTTTCCATAAAACGTTAACAAAATGTACATTTTATGTTTCCAGGTGATATCAAAGGACACAAATGTTATGTTGGTAGCGTTAGGCGGTCGTCTCCTCGGCATGGTCGCGACAGGTCTTCGCAACAAATTCTCCCCGTACGCCTGTGCGTGTGTTCAAGCTATACTAGAGAAGTTTAAAGAGAAGAAAACTAACGTTGTTACGGCCCTCAGAGAGGCTATCGATGCTATATATCCTTGTGTGAGTATATTCTGTATTTACTGTTGTTATAGCTTTACTCTTTCGTCAAATATTATTTTTAATATGTATTAACTCTTTCAATTAAGTAAACAAATCGAGGTTTTCAATATTTGTATAATTAATTGGATTGACGAGATAACTCGAATTGTTTCGAGCTACACTCAGGGCTCATAGTCATGAGCATTACGCGGCGAACGTCGCGCAACCAACTAAAGTAAATAATTTTTTATTTACAGACAAATCTTGAAGCCATTATGGAAGATATGCTAGCAGCCTTCGACAATAAGAACCCGTCAATAAAAGCTGAAAGTTCCCTTTTCTTAGCAAGAGCTCTGTGCCATACTCAGCCAGCGGCATTCAACAAGAAGCTCATAAAGGCATATGTTGCTGGCTTGCTGAAGTTGCTGGAAAGTGCTGGTAGGAAAATACATTGATTAGTATAATTTTTAAGTTTATATTTATATTGAAGGAACAACTAATAAATGGTCTATCTAGTACCTTTCTATGTCCACTGTAGCTATCAATAATTTAATGTTACATGGCTGAACATTTGCTTATACTCTGTATTTAACAGAGTGCCAAGCACGAACTATCGCATCCGGAACGTAATAGTGTCGAGCGCGTTCGGCGCTCTGATTGGCCGGCTCCAGTGCTCTGTGCTTGCCACTCGGACCTCATGCTAAATTAAGCGCCTTTTGGTGAGCAAGACACGGTAGCCCTAATTAACCTTCAACGATCTTTACTTTAGATCCTGCAGTACGAGACGCAGCAGCCGAAGCATTAGGTACAGCAACAAAACTAGTCGGAGAGAAGAACATCGCACCACACATTGGCAAACTGGAACCTTTGAAGGAGCAGAAAATCAAAGAATTTGCGGACAAGGTAACCACCCTGGTTAGTGGAATCTGTGCAATGATGAGGTTGTAGTACTAGAAACTTGTATATAGTACTAGTAAGACCCCTCTTATTGCCATAAAGGATGATGCAAGTGGATATAAATCGATTTCTGATGGTTGTGTTTTTGGAGAGGAGTTTATGGAGTTCTGTAGTAGTAGATCCATCTAGAAATTAGGTTACATTTCAGATCAGTTAGATTTCGAAGTGATGCTGTACTGTGACTATCGCATATAAAGTGATCAAGCAACCTACCACTTTGCATCTTATTTGATATTCAACTAGTGTTTTGTGTAACAAATAAAAGAATTCATTTCAATTTAAAACTGCGACCGTTTTTTAACTTTCAGGCTGTGATACAAGTGAAGGTGGCAGCTCCGAAGAAGGAGGCAAAGGCTAAGCCAAATCCATCACCATCTGCTAGAGGTGATTCTAAACCTACGGCCGGTTCTGCACAACCCAAGCCAGTTAAACGACCCAACTCTGGTATGTATTGGTAGCAGTAGCTAAGAAATAGATTGTTAGAATCTAAGAAGATTGATAATAGTGTTGCGTTTTCGCGAAATTTTATTCCGCATATTGTTTTTAACTTTATTGTTTTATGATTGATTCGAAAATCAATCGAAGTGAATTGTCAGATTGAAATAGTTTAATGAACCAATACTGTTAATGACTTAAAAACTATGCACCTATTGTTAAAATTGTTGAATACAGAGTTCTAATCTATCAGAATTTTACGACTTTATTCATGATCTTACTCAAGAGTCATGTGCATGAAAATTACAATATTGAACACATTATTTAATTTTCCAGCTAAAGCCCCAGTAAAGAAGGCTCCAGCGTCTCGCGGCCAACCCAGTCCGCCGCGTGAACAAGAGTTGTCGCAGGAGGAAGTCGACGCCAAGGCAGAGATGTTGTTCCCGGCTGATGTAATAGCAGGTAAAGCAAGTTATAAGTCAAACTGATATTTTAAAATTTAATGAAAACTGATTTACTAAATTATTTGGAATTTAATTGGTTCATTCGTTCGACATTGGATTTTGATTCCCCGATCGTCTAAATTACAATTCGGTGATCGAATTTATCAGTAATAGTTCCTACAAGGTCTTGAATATTACAGACAAGAACTAAGTTTTAATATCTACTATCTCTATTTGAACTGCCTCTACTATTTTATAATAACTCATCAATAAATTAACTTCGCAATCCTCAGGTCTCGGCGACAGCAACTGGAAAACCCGTCTATCAGCCGTTCAAAGTTTCCACAGTACCGTTCAAGGTCTGACCTCAAGCGATGCGACCTCACAAGTATTATACCGCACGCTGAACAAAAAGCCCGGCCTGAAAGATACCAACGTTCAAGTGCTGAAAGCCAGGCTCGAAGCTTGCAAATACATTACTGAGAATTTTCCTGTTTCCACGTAAGTTGTCGTTATATATTTATATGGATTTTGAAAAAAAAAATAGGCATTATTTAATTATATTTTTTGTTTTATTTAAATTATCATAAGGCATTTTACATTAACTATGTTGTAGCTTACCCGCATAACTTTTCAATGAGGTAACTTAATCAGTTTCGAGTCACGCTAGGGGCCCATAAGTAGCGTAACAACCGACGCAGGTGGCGTCGCGGAACCAAGTTCCATACTTGAAAAGTGATTTCATACTTAATTTTCTTTTACAGGACCGCAGCGGACTTTGTCCTTCAAGACGTAGTAACCAAGTTAGGTGAAGCATCATGTGCATCAATCTGTGCAGACTGCCTTACCTCTTTAGCTGAAGCATGTGGTATAGAACATGTTCTCAATGAGGGACTGATGTTTGCCATGGATTCACAGAAAAACCCTAAAGTACAATCGGAAATGTTCAACTGGATGGCCAATGCTATCAAGGAGTTTGGGTTTAAGTAAGTTGGTTTTTAAGAGTAACGAGTTGAGTTTCTTGCTTCTTCTTCTCCACTATTATCTACTTTTTGGAACGAGCACTTAGCTTCACTGATGGACAGACTGACAGACTTAACCTTTCGTGTGTCTAAACACGGATCCACGCGAGACACAATGTATTTTCTATTGTCTTTCATATCGGTGCATTGAAGCAGTTAATTAATTTTATATTTGTTGAACTCAACCAAGAGTTGATTTTTGTTTGTAACGCCGGCGCCAGACATGTACGCACTTGTGTGGTACAGAAATGAAGTAAAGATGAATTGCGAGTTTATAATGGTACCTTGTCTAGTTTTGCATTTCTTTTGATAATGATTTTAATTCAGAATGTATGTTGTCACAATCACAATTTTTTATTCATTGCAGTATGAACATCAAATCAATAATAGCGCACAGCAAGAAGGCTCTATCAGCCACAAACCCCAACGTCCGTACATCAGCAGTGAACTTCCTTGGCATTTTGTCTCTATATGTGGGACCGTCCCTGATCAACCACTTCGACAGTGAGAAGCCAGCTACTAAACAACTGATCAGCTTGGAGCTAGACAAACATGCTAACAGCACGCCACCTACTCCTACAAGGCAGATAGGAACTGTTAGTAAGGTGAGAAAGACATTGTTTACACCTTTTTTTTTATTGTAATATTGTCATTAAAACAGGCGTCAGGCGTCACATATCACATCTCAAACGACCGCTCACGCACATAGACCATCGATGAAAAACAAATCAATGGATACCATCACAAAATCCTACATCGTACATGTAAAGTTTACATGCGAATTAACAAGGATTAAAAATCCCAATGAACAACTGTTTTGCAGAAAACCCGCTAAACACGAACGCCTCGCCTGGTCCTCCTCTTTTCCGATCTTTGAGAACTTTACTCTCTGTTCCCTAAATTGTCATTTCACGATTAAGTAAACTGATTTATGTGATAGTTTTTGAAGTGAAATCCTTAGTTTTTAGTAAAAACTGAACAGTATTAACTGATGTGCATATTACAAAATTCTTTACAATCGCAACCTCTTTTTAAAAGTCGAGCAATGCGCTTGTAAATCCTCTAGTGTTACGAGAGCCCGTTGTCCGAGAGGCTGATTACTTACCATCTAGTGACACTAGTGCTTGTTTGACCCCTACCCCATAAAAAACACAGACATATCTAACCAGGGACTGAAAGCGGTTAAGGTATAACGGTACGGTACCGGTATAAAATAAGTGTACCGAAATTAAAGCTATACCGGTATTTAACCTTTATGCGATAACGGTACCGAAAAACTTAGATTTGACCGTTGCGACTTTGCGAGACGTAAAGCGAATATCTCTCTCATACCTTTATTATTCAGGTTAGGATACTGGTACCGAAATATACCGGTTTTCATTTCATACCCAAAAATAGCGGTACCGAAATTAAATTTCGATACCGAAATTAAGCGGTAACCGTTATTTAACGGTATGACGTCATACCGCAATTTAAAGGTATCGTAATTTTTCGGTTATTCAGTCCCTGTATCTAACAACCTAAAAATATTATATTACCTTCCAGTCTGCAAGTAAAGCGTCAGTGGACGACATAGAGGAAGCGTTTGAGGACGCGACGGAGGACGAACCCGTCGTAGTGGACGACAACAGGCCACGCACTGACATCGCGCCACTCATCACTGAGGCACTCATTGCTGAGATTAATGACAAGAACTGGAAGGTAAGACATGCCTTATCAAAATTAATAAGGTATGATTTCGCATGATGCAGTAAATTCATATTTTGAAGCCTCGTGAGGTCATTAGCCACGGCCCGCGCTGTCCATGCATGTCTACGCAGTTATTGACATGACAAAAGTTTTACCTATTTATTTAGGACTTTTAAAACAGTCTGTTATCATTCACTTTTAAACATAAGTATCTCCAATGTTAATACTGATTTATTTATATATTCTAACAGGTCCGTAACGAAGCTCTCGATAAAGTGAAGGCAATAATAACAAACTCGTCGCCTATCAAGCCGTCTCTAGGCGAGTTGCCCGCAGCGTTGTCAGCGCGTCTACTAGACTCCAACTCCAAACTAGCACAGAGTGCCTTGCAGATTTGTGAAGCATTAGCTTCTGCAATGGGAGTCAAGTGCAAGTCACATGTGAGGACTTTCTTCCCTGCGTTCTTCCAAGGTCAGATACATTCAGTGTCTTTCAGACGTAGATTATTATAGTTTATGTCCGTCACTAAACTTTATAAAAAACACAATACTGTATTAATTAAGTTATAGTTCAACTTTATAGATATTTACAATACCTACTTTAAAGTGACATGGTCAGCAAAGTTTGTTTAGACAAATTATCACAGATAGTTTTTGCTAATAAAGCCGAAATATCAAAAATACTTTTCAAATAAAAAAAGACAGATCAATTTTTTTGTGTTAACGTTTTTGTAACTACCTACCTTTGTAAACGAATCTGAAATTAAAACTCAACGTGAAAAGAAGTGCATTGAAAGTGGAATACTTTTGGTTGTGCCAGCCTTCGGCGACAGCAAGCAGTGGATCCGCGCGGCGGCGGTGTCGTGCGTGGAGGCGTGGTGCCGCGCGGCGGGCCCGCAGTGCGCGCTGGACGGGGACATGCTGCACGACGCGCTCAAGGCCGGCAGCCCCCTGCTGCGCGCCACGCTGCTGCAGTGGCTGGCCGACCATCTGCCGAATGGTGACTTTCAAATAATAACTAGTATAAATAGAGTATTAACTGCTCTTCAATTCATACCAAAACTTGTAATGCAGACTTTTCATTTATCAAAAATTTTTAAATCCAATAAAATAATTCATCCGTGTTTGTTCTCATCATACTCAAAAAATAAAAAAAAATGCCTAAAAAGGTATGTTGGGAACGAGATGTGATACCAATCATGCCATTAATGTCCAAATACTCAAACGGCACTAAATTTTTTAAGTCGCTCTTTATTATAGTTATGTCACTACAAATTCTTTATAAAATGATAGAGACGACACGATATTTTAGTACAAGTTAAAATTATGTATCCTTTCAGTATTTAGGCGTAAATTTTTCATCTCTTCTAATTGCAATGATTTTTTTTTAACATAAATGGTCTAGTAAATTCTGTATGTTTATTCCAGTACCTCCAAAATCATTCCCCCGCGAGGAGCTGTCAGTATGCGTGCCGATCCTGTACGCGTGCCTGGAGGACCGCGCCGCCGACGTGCGCAAGGTGACGGCGGACTGTGTACTGCCCGTCATGTTGCATCTAGGGTACGAGGCCATGCATAAACAACTCGACAAATTGAAGGTAAACACTTTATGTAACTCAATATTCAAAACTTGTTTAGATACAAATTTAAAAGCTCTATCTCGTAGTTAATTTAACAAATAGAGACAGAGATCTTAGCAATTCTATTTATCGTTCGATGCTAGACGCGTGATTTGGTTACCGAAAAACAATAGACACTCTTGGTGGGATAAAATATTTGTAAGGCTTCACCATAAGACTTCCGCTACCAAACATAGGTCACCCCCAATGACTTATAGGCGAATCCCTAATTTTAAATTAGCACAATGAAATTCAAAAGGGTTTATCTTGCTATCAATAATTACATAGAATATATAATTTTTTCTTCTACCAGCCTGGCTCCAAAACAGTAGTACAAGCCGCGTTAGACAAGGCTCGACCGAGCTTGCCAGTACAACCACTACCGCCATCTAAAGGCAAGAAAGAAGAACCACGTGGTGTTAAGTCCGCTGGCGCACTAAAGAAGGAGGCTGAGAAGAAAGGCACTGCTGTTAAGGGCAAGGTAAGCAGGACTAAAAGAAAAAAGTATTGTAGTTTATGAAGTACTAACGTAATTTTAAAATAGTGTAAATTGTACTTTAAGTACTATTGCTTAAGATTGAGAGTCGCATAGTCGTTACAACTTATAAGAATTCATTTATTTATTTTTTATTAATTATAATTTGTTTTGCCAGACTCTTATAGTGTCTTGTCCTGGTAAACTTTACTCTTGACTTCTAACATGTAGTTACCACCAGCTACCGGAGCATATGAAAGGCACTTAACCTCGATTATATTCAACATACTTCTCAATAACCACATTTTCTACAGGGACCAGTAAAATCGGCTTCAGCATCAAATCGCGGTAAGAAGGATGACGAGGATTGCTCACCCCTCCTACCAAACAACAACGCCAAGAACCAACGCATCATTGACGATCAAAAACTCAAAGGTTAGACGAAAATTTTCAACTATAAAACCTCATTTTTGTTTGTCATTCGTTCTTTGTTCTATATAGTCTATGGATGGTATAATTTTCTTCATACAAAATACATTTTTTCTGCGTGCATTGAGGATTGGTTATTGAATGGGTGGCATAACATCATAATATTATAAGAAATATAAAAGGTAACAAGTTAAATATATTTGTGTGTGCGTCTGGATGTGTTGTTTGTACTTGTAGTAAGTAAAATTATGCCTGGTTTTAAAAAGTATAGGCTGGAGTGGAATAAGTCTGAGTTCCAGGTTGTAGACTTAATATTTTATTGATTTGAAAGGTAGATTTGTTTGAGTTCTATGCATGTGTGGTTTGCGTATTTGTATGATGAAAACTCTCTGTAGATAATATGGTCGAAAACATCACCTGAATTGCATGAACAAAATCTAAAGTTATTATTGCATTAACCAAGTTATATTTTTGTCACAGTATTGAAATGGAACTTCACAACTCCTCGCGAGGAGTTCTTCGAACTTCTAAAGGAGCAGATGGCGACTGCTGGATTGAACAAACAGCTGGTTGCCAACATGTTCCATAATGACTTCAGGTTTGTAACAAAAAGATTCTATTTAATATTTTATCCACAAGAATATGCGTTGATTTTGACTATAAACGCGATTAACGCATTAGTTAGGCGACCGTTTTTTACGTAATGCATAGATGGAACTGAGTTTATCGCGGCCTATAAACATCCTATAGAGGAGCATCTCAACCAACTAAAGAAAAAAAGAGAAAAAGGTTCTCATTCCACTGTATTCTTTTAAAATTGAGGTCTTAAAATACATTCTTGCTTTCTGTAAATTTACACCGAAACAGGAATGCAAATCTAATTATCTTAACCATAAACTCTATTTTAAATTAACAGATTTTAATCAATAAGTAAAAAGTAATATTAACAATCTTTCCACAGATATCACTTAAAAGCAATAGAGGCTTTATCAGAAGATCTACATGAGAATGGACAAGCTTTAATGGCAAATTTGGACCTGGTCCTCAAATGGTTGACACTTCGGTTCTTTGACACAAACCCGTCAGTGATCCTCAAGGGATTGGAGTACCTTTCTGTCGTGTTCACGTATCTAATGGATAGTGACTACACCATGCCGGAGTATGAAGCTAATTGTTTTATACCTTATCTAGTTTTGAAGGTAAGATGTTGTTTAATATGATTTTTGAATGAAAAAGTAAATTTAACACATTTTTTTAAAAAAAAAAACGTTGCCCCACACTAGTATTTCTCCTGTGTCGTGGGTGCGTTTACAAACATACAAGTTTAGATACACATGACACCTAGACCCAGAACAACACCTACCTACCACCTATGGATCACACAAAGAGTTGTTCCGTGCGGGAATCGAACCCGCGACACGTTGCACGGCAGCCAGTTACCGAACCACCGCACCAATCGTGCAATCAACATTGAGTACACTTTATCTCAAATTTTCAGATACTCTCATAGCATAATGAGATGTACCTAATAACTTGATAACTATCAAAACAGGGTTTTACATGCAAACGTTTATACTTCTGCCTACCTTTCATTCTATCAATATCACTCAATTGCAACTTCAGAATACTTGAGCTAAGTCAAGTAGAGGTATTATAAAATGATTAGAACAAATAATAGTACCTAGTACTTGGATAATAGAGATAAATTAGCAATTGAATACTCAACAATCAATGCATGCAACAAATACTATCAAATAATATTATGCTCTACTTTCATTGTATAAAGTTGTTATTTGTTCAACAATAGGTCGGTGACCCGAAGGACACGGTGCGCAACGGCGTCAAATCTCTGTTCAAGCAAATATGCGTCGTGTATTCTGTTACCAAGTTGTTTGGATATTTGATGGAAGGACTCAAGTCTAAGAACGCGAGACAAAGAGCTGGTAAGTTGAAATAAACTATCTAGTATTGTGAATAAATAATAGTAATAGACCAGTATAAGTAATACAGATCTCCAACCTGGCTTCTAAGTGTGGAGACTGACTGATTATACTCATATATCCCCAAGCGGTCACCGGTGACCGCTCTCCATTAACTACATTATAAACCTTATTTCCGATGTTTGGAGACTACTTTTGTATGAACAAATTTAGGGGATGATATTACAGATATTTCAACAGGTTAAATATGTAGAGGAAACATACATTATGGGATGCACAGGTGCTGAGCAATGGTCTTTTGGTGGCTGTACATGATTAATAAATCACGTCTTTGCAAACATAGTGTAGGGCGCGCATTACCTAGGTACAGAGATGATATATGCGATGTGGCTAGCACTAGCACTAATTAGATGCAAAGAGCTAAATATCGAGCTCAGTTGCATGTTATTAAATAATGTTCGTCACTGGCCAAAAATAGCCTGATTATATTGATAAAACTAACTGTTGCCCGCGACTTCGTCATCGAATATGAATTTTAGAACATCCCTATTTTTTATTTAATTTTTCAATATAAACTCTCATTCTCATTATAACAATAATGTTACTCCTCATTTACATCAGCTACCTGCCAATAAAAGTCTTGCGAAATCGGTCCAGCTATTCCAGAGTTTACGCAGTACAAACAAACAGACAGACAAAAAATTGTAAAAAATGTTATTTTGGTATGTGGTAATCTTATGTATATTCATAATGCTCGTAGTTACAGACACTCTAATTTTCAGTATAGATAATTGCGAATTATGCTATTGGCAATGTTTTTAAGTGCTACTATAATAACAATTAGCAGGTGGTGAAGGAAGGAAAATCGTTAATGTTAATCAGTTTGAAATAGCTAATAATTTCACATTATCATTGTGATAGTATTGAGTGGGTGATTGATAGTTTGTATTGATTTTGTGTTACTAAATGGTAAATGTTTCTTTATCTTCCTATTACTCGGGTTCCAAACCATATTTTTCCTTAGTTATCAACACTGTCACTGTTACATTAATAACCATATAATATAGTAATTAAAATTAATTGTTATTCTTATACCTTTCATCTCACAAAATAATACTTTTCAATGGAATTATTAACCCATGGTATATATTAACCCGGAACGCAGATATACGCTTCTTTTAGTTTTCTATTGTGTCTTATATACCGGCTACAAGAGGTTAATCGATTCAAATAATTCTTAACTTAAACATAACATGACGTCTTTTATCTCCGAAGGGGTAGGCAGAGGTGTACAGTGGTGTAACAACACCCACTTAAAAACTTAATAACTTATTTCTTAACTTAAATAATTGTTTTCTTTTACAGAATGTCTAGAGTGCATCGGTCACTTGCTAGAAACTTACGGTTCGACGGTGATGGGCAGTGGTGGTAGCGGGGCGCTCAAGGAACTCGCGCGACACATCGGAGACAGGGACAACGCCGTCCGGTCCGCCGCACTCAACTGTGTCGCTTCTGCTTACTTCTTGGAGGGAGAGAAGGTGTACAAGATGATTGGACAGGTAAAAACTAGTTTTTTTGTGTTGTAACCATTGTAATATAGGTAAATATAGTAACTATCGTGAGATATACTAAATTAACTAAAATCGCGGGTTACTCAAGTGAATATACTGAGAAAAGCTCTATTATCGCGTTATATTATAATTCTTTTATTGGATGCCGTGTAATCGCATGACTAGACTTAAGATGAGATCAGCCATGAAATCAGCCATCGTAACCGAAGTCAGGAGACTACAACAACCTTTCCTACTATAATAATTTAATAATTTTTTTTTTCTTTAATTTCTAGATATCAGACAAAGATCTCTCATTACTGGAAGAGCGTATAAAGCGCGCGGGCAAGTCTCGAAGTGCGGAGTCGCGACGGTCCATGCTCGTACCACTCACTGCTTCTGGCAAACCGGTGCAAATACAACAAGAGGTATGTTAAGATATGTCCAATAAGGCTGATGGAAAATTGTTTAAGAAATATTTATTTATTTATTTATTTTATTTATTTATTTACACACATAACATACAAATATCCTTACAGGCTAGACCCAATGCGATATTGCAGCAAATATTAAAATAACTATAATAAACAAAATACAAACAAGAAATATCTATATACTCTATAGAAATATAATACGATAAAGAATATATAATAAGCTTTTACTACATATAGCAAATCCTATGCATGGCTGCTCGTGTAAATTCTCCTAAAGAGCAACAGAATATGTCTACGTCATTAGCAATGAGGTTCAGAGTGCGAAGCGCACACGTGAGCGGTGCCTCCCGCAGCAAGTTAGTTCGCGAACGTGGTTCTGCCAGTAACCGCGGCTGGCGACGACGACTCACGTATCCATCGGGCACGTTGTGTTATCGTGTCCAAGAACCGATTTCGTTTCCGCTTCCTTCTGGTTGCGACGACAACTGCGCTGAGTATTTACTTTGCCGTCACTCGCCCCAGCCGCCAAGGTTTTATCCACCGTACTTCCTCGAACAGGGGTGTCAGAATTCCCTCGTTTTGGAATAGCACTTACACATACTGGACACATCCACTTTTTTTTTATAATCTTGTGTAAATGTTTCATACTTCTCCGTCGTCACTGCCAAACATTTAAGATGGTAAGGCTTCTTGCACTTTCCTTGGGAACACTCCATATACACCTTATCAGTAATATCGGCATCGCAGCCGTTACATTTCGTACCCATCTAGTGAGAACAAAATCTTAACTATTTAACTCGACAAAATACACGTCCGATCACTTTCGTTGCGTGCGGGTAAATTAATTAATTATCGTCTGTTGTGTTAAACAAATAGCGGCTCAATCATATATAGCCATGCCAATTAGCCAGCCATTAATATTTATGTATCCTCTATCGCCAGGAATAAATAACAAACTTATCTTTTTATAGGATCCAGAACCTAGACGTGTAATATCAGTGGACTCAACTCCAGCTGAGTATGAGGAGGAGGAAGAGGAACCACTTCCCGCACCTGCACCATTGCCTGTGTAAGTACTTATTACCTACATGGTAACACTCAGAACAATTTAAAAGGTAATACCTTATCTAACATCCATTGTAATGGGTACATTCCAAAGGTTTAATGTGTTTATCACACAAGCAAGCTAACATTTTGGTCGAAATATCAAGGTAATTAATAAATAAAGCAAAAACTCGCATTAATCTCCAAAATTCAGTTAATTCGCCAGCTATCTAGTTACGGGAAATCTTTGGCGTACTATTGTCAACTATTGTGTAATCTGTTTATAATTCAGTACTAATACATCTTACCCGGTATATTGCCCGGTATATGGACATAGGCTCACCCCCTATTACATGGGACTCATAACATAAATAGTGAAAAGTGGGTGTTACTTCTGTGTTCACCTCAGTCTACCCCTTCGGGGATAAAAGGCGTGACGTTATGTTATGTTACATTCTACCCACAGCGCTCCTCCAGAACCGAAAGTCATCACCGGTCCATTCGGTCTCGATCCGGAATTGATCGCTCAACTAGACGCAGCAGTGCCCGTGCTACGGCAGCCAGATGTGGCTGAAATAGACCTCAAGTTCCTCGACGAGCCTATTCCTACTGGCGCAGTTAGACCACAAATGACACATACACAACCACCTATTCGGTCCAGGTAATTGTTTGTGCTATTGTGAAATTATTGGAAAATGAAACAGAAATGTTATAAAGATGTAGTGAGGGGCAAAACAATTTTAATTTATCTTTTGTTTCAATTTGCTGTAAAGTTTACAGTGTAAACAGATTGATCGTGAATATTCTACCCTTAGAAACCACAATTTAACTTAATAATGTGTCAGACCAAGGTGTACTTACTTACTACCTATTTAAAACCCTGTTCGAGATAAACTAAGAATCACTTGAACACATCTTGGCGAATACCATCACTGGTATAAAGCATTTCTTTAGCCTTATCAAAAAGTATAATTCGTTACAATTCTTGTCCCATGAGGCAAACAACAGACGTAAAGCTAATTTCATAGAGTAAGTAGAGCTAACAAGAATATCGCCCCCAGCATGGTCCCGATGTCCCCGCCCCGGCACGCGGCCCCGCTGGTGGCGCCGCAGCCCCACTCGCTCACGTCGCACGTCGACGACTCGCAACTCGCCGACACTATACACTCCATAGCTAGCCCGGATTTGAATGTGAGTATTTCTTCTACATACACTTATAACGTTCTTGTTGTTTTTTCCTTTAATAAAATATTTTAGTGGTCTTTAGAGATTGGTACATCAAGTACATCAATTAATCTGCATTTTTAAAGGAAATTCGATGTCAATCTAAACAGCTTCATTTTAACTGTTAGACTTCTCATCAAAGGAGACTCAAAGTATCCGCTACGGAACTATTATACTGATTGAACATTTTTTTTTTGTAGCACAGAAATAATAATTATTTTTACCAGGCCAGGTATGACCATAAGCTCGTCCCTTTAACATATAAAAGTGGGTATTTATAATAGCACCTTTACTTATCTTTGTAGAAACAAATACATCTCTTCTGCATTTCGATTAACACGACAAATTGTTTTGCAGGCGGCGATCCGAGCTCTGTCCCTGATCTCGGGCGCGCTGGTGTCAGGTCGCGGCGGCGCGCTGGCCCCGCACGAGGCGCGGCTGGTGACCGCCATCGCGGCGCAGGTCCGCCGGCTGCGGACCGCGCCGCCGCAGGACGCCCTGCCCGCGTACAAGTACCTCGCTAGTGCACTCACTACGGTACGTATATCTTGTACGAATTTTAAGATACTATTCTTATGAACTGTATAAATAAAAAAGCATTGGCTTTTTGCTATTCATTTTCAAATATTATAGGAAAATTTAGTGTTTGTTTGTATTGAATAGGTTTTTCATAGATTTTTCACTACATTAATTAACAATCAAAGTTGATATGACAAGGTATGATGTAACATTAAACTATATCTTATGAATAATTCTTTGTCAAGTGTCGTATTTTGATACATAGACGAAAGCATCAAATTTGCAATCATTCCGATTTGAAAAAAGACTACTTCTGTTGTAAATGAATTTAAACTGTCAAACACCAAGCGGTCACCGGTGACCGCAACCTATTGTTCTATAATTGTGTCTACAAAACCGGTACTCGACGAGTTAATAAATGATACGCCACAGAGACAACAAAATAATGCAAAATCGAACATTTGTAAAATATGAACATATGTAAAATAAATAAATAAATAAATAAATAAATAAATTTAAAATTGTTTAACAAGTTGTCCCTCCGTCCCCCAGTTCTACGAGACGGGCGGGTGCGGCGCGCACGTGGGCGAGGCGGCGCTGTGCGCGCTGCTGGGGGAACTGCTGCGGGTGCTGGGCGGCGGCGCGGCCGGCGCGGGCCACGACACCGGCCGCGACACCGGCCACGACGCCGAGCGACTCGTGCGGATACTCAACAACGTCTGCGTCAGGCTACTCGAGCACTCGCCCAGGACGCCGCTCCTGGGGTACGTTTAACCCAAGCTACTAGCCCAACGTAGATACACGCGCGACACAGTGTGTTTTCAATTGTATTGTATCTCATATACCGGCAGATTAAGAAGTTAAAGCTTGCTTAAAAAGTTTTCTGAAATTAAATGTGCTAATAGGATATTCTATTTATAGAACAATGTCACTGAAACCCTGAAATCAAAATTTTATAAGTCTTTCTTCAAAAGATTGGCAAAATAGACTATCAAATGAAACGCATTTTAATATTCTGTTCTCTGAGTTTATTTCTTTTAAAAGTTTTGCAGCTTTTTTACTGTATGAAGACAATTTTACTCGACTAGTTTCAAGCCATGGTAGAGGCTCATATTCATGAGCAGCATTTCGCGCGTCGCAGGTCGCAAAATGTCAAATAATTACGTGAATAAGCAAAAAACATAATAACTTATACAGTATGTCTCACGAAAGTTATAATACAAATATAATTTTATTTACTAGCTAACCTTACTCAACTTGTTATCAATATGTTACTGATCTACAAAATACTCAAATATTCACGAAATAACACTATTAAACCATTCTTTCACAGTGCAATAGTATCCCTTCTCCACGAATCTATCGGCGTATCTGACCCAGCGTACCCACGCTACCAAGACCTACTTCTCAAGTGTTTCTGGAAGACCCTGAAGATGATCTCCACATGGGACGTCAACTCCATCGATTATGATGCAGTGTTGTATAAAATACACCTGTTCTATAAGGCCTACCCTAATAGCTATTGGAAGAAGAACCCAGACATCAGTGATACACCATACAGGTATGTGATATTGTCAAATGAACTTTATTTTTGGGAGATAGTGTTCAAATCTTGTTAGGAAAATACTAATTTTATTGTATAGTAAGCCTTATGTGCCCCATTTTACAGTTCATGTGGAAACCCACATGAACAAATCATATGAGTAAATAAAATAAAAGTTAACAGCTAATTTTTATATTTTCACTTGAGACTAAGTTTTACTTAAATGCAAGTAGAGTTCATTGTAGCTTAATTTGAATTTTTCTTAATGGGCTATTCAATAAAGTGTCTATTTCTATGTTACAGGACAGTGAAAACATTGGTGCACACTCTAGTCAAAATGAAGGGAAGCTCCATCACAAACCATCTCACACAAATACCAGATGTCAACGAATCTGACCTCTACCCCTACCTACTCAAAGTTCTCAAGGTAAATGTTGCTAACTATTCCTTTTTATCAGTTTGACTTCGTTAGATTGATCAATAAATTATTTCAGTCGTCAATACGGTAATTTCTTTGGGAACTGCTCTAGCACTGTCGACGAAACGCACTGTCGAGTATAATCTATCTATCTGCCTAAACGAAATGGTTGAGCAGCTCCTTTTGAATCTTTATAAATCTTACAATACTGTTCGTATTACCGACACGAACGAAGTCCTTGCAAAGTTAATTTATGATTTTAAACTGTCAAACTGCAACCTATTGTTCTATAATTGTGTCTATAATGACGGTACTCGACGAGTTAAATATTGTGTTTTAGCAATTAAAACTGGACGAGAAAAAAGAAAACACGCCCGACGCTCTAAACGGTGGTTCAGTCCTCGCGTCAGTACCACCAAACAACGCCGCTCTGGCTGCCGGCAGACTACCTCGGGCTGTTCATGAAGAACTGGCGCTTATACTCAAGAGGATCGGCACCAAGGAACATAATAAGGACGCCTTGTCACAGCTGTATGATTTGCGGGTAAGTGTTTATAGTAGTTAAATGAGACTTCTTATTTTTCTGTAGTTTGTTACTATTGGTCCCAACTTTTCTTCTGTTCTCTATTTTATCAGATATAATAATCATATACCATCTCATTGAATCCAGCCTTCATTGCAGCTATTTTTATTCCTGCCATCAAAATTATTTTAATTCGCTATTCAAAACTATTACCTGAGTTTTCTAACACACCTATCTACCATAACTAAGCCTTGACTTACTCCTTGTGTTGACGAGGGTTGTTGAAAATGATGACACGGTGTATGGAAAGATAAATCACTTTAATTAGGCAAGCTAAATCTATGATACACCATACACGTCTAACTATCGATGCGAGCGATGCTGCACGAGTGCGTGTGACCGTTGGGTCGGCCAGTGGCGGAATGAATCGGCGCAGGCGCCGGCCTGCACCGCCTGGCGATGCGCGGGCGCGTGGTTCGGCGTTAACACCTTGCTTGCACACAAATAAATATTCCATTAAACTATTACCTTACTGATATAGTCATAATATCACATGTAACAAATATATTTATCTCTTTTCTAGGAGCGTCACCCAGAAGTAGACATCTGGACGTTCATGCAAGGTTCATCGTTCTACTTCCGCAACTACGTGGAGAGGGGGCTGCGCGAGGTGGCTGAGCAGAGGAAACTCGCCTCTATGCCCATATACAAACACGACTACAAGTCTGATAATATTGGTGAGTAACTGTAACTTGTCCTTGAGTAGACTTTTGAAGACAATAAGGTAGTTGCCAGGGTGAAAATTAAAAATCTAATTAATCCTTCACTTAGGTAATGAAAAAGTATTAAACGCGTATTTTTTTTTATTTCCTCGTATAAACTTACAATACGTAGATAAAATGGAGTTAAGTTTAGGAGTCACACCATATTTCAAATAATTATTACCTATATCGTCGAAAGTATTTATTTGTGTTAAAAAAGAAAAAATACGTGTCTAAAGTTTTAAATTATTGTACCAGACACACATTAAAATATATTTAGGAGACTACCCTATTTTGGGGAATCCGACAAAATTAAAGTAACAATCGCTAATCGAGTCTGTAAGCTACTAATAAGGCTTTATCATCTTATCATTTATAATCATCTTAAAACATTTTGCGTATGAAACTTATACCTAATAATGAAATCTTTGTTTTTTACAGACATAAGTAATGAAAACGACGAAAAATCACATGTGATATTCTTAGAGAGACTTCGAGCTTTGCAGGTTTGTATCCTTTCATGTTAACACTTTTCTTATAATAAGTCACTTCCCTTAAGTTTTGTCGAATGAATGCCAAATCTTTATTTGTTATGAAATTAGCCAGTAAACGAGCAGACGGATCACCTGATGGTAAGCAACCGGCGCCGCCCATGGTCACCTGGAACACCAGAGATGTTACGGGTGTGTTACCGGCCTTTTGGGATTAGGAATTTAAGGATTATTGGGATTCTAGGATTGGGGATCTAACAATAATAATAATTAATCAATAAATAAAAATGTTTATTTGCAGGCCAAAGCCGGTTTAAAAACAGAGTCATCACCGTCGTCACAGCCTCGTACACCGATAGGCGACAACCGAACACTAGTCGACTCCATCAACGAGAACACATTGCCGCGAACACACAGTATCGATCCACAACTTGACGTGAGTACCAAGTATCAGCTTATTAATTTAAAAACGTACTGGACGGAAGGAGCAGGTTGTCAATTCTGTATTGGGAAACTGCTCCTTTTTGAAGTCGGTGAAAATAAACAATTTAATTGTTTCATTTATCAACTGTTGAATAACACGTGTTTGAAAAAGATAGTCAAAAATGCTTACCGATGGAGAGAAGAACTCGAATCACACCACAATCTATTTTTCTAACTAGTTTTGCTTTATCAAATCAAATCAAATCAAATCAAATCAAATCATGTTTATTTGCTCAAACACATGTGTACATACAATAAACAATAGCATGTAAGATAGCGGGTAGTAGTGAAAAAAGTTCGAGACATGTTTGCCGTATACAATAGCGTGCAAATATAGTAGTCACTCGTAATGATTGCGAACTAACCGACATCTTTCGAATGTGGAAACCTTATTCAATAATAGACATTGATGGAATATTGATAATAATATGTCAGAGTAACCATCATTTTACATTTAAAACAATAGAATAATAATAATTAAAAAATTATGTCTACTTATTACTGTTACAACAACAACAGTAAAGGTATAATATACAATAATGTCAATCAGTAAAAACTAATAAAAATAAAAATGTCAAATATGTTATGTTATGTCAAAATTATATAAATCAATTGCATTTTATTAATTTTCTTATTTTCCTTATTTTCTTTATTTTCCTTATACTGACAATTTTTTTTTCTTTCCAGCTACACACAACACAGACGCTATCACAACGCAACGAAGCGGAAGTAGACGCATTACGCCTGAAACTGCAACAAATCAAGAGCTCCTCCAAGAGATAAGATCACACTTGCACCATACACGGAATTGTTAGCTCTCTCATAAACATCATCGATTTACTAGCACTATAACGCGGCACTAGTAGAGTGATCATCCAACAACTAGTCGATTTGAATCAACTAATCGACTAAAATACACTCTCATATACTTTGAAAGCTTCTTCGTCTTGCCTGAAATAACTCGAACGATTTAAATCTCATTTTTTTTTAATATCATCTCATGTAATCTAAGACTAGGCCTATGCGTGTTCCGAGGTAGCGTCCATCGATCCCTTACTGAGTGAACATGACAATATAGTTTCAGTATCGCCTTGCACAGGGTATAACGCTTCATGTATTGTGAACTTGTGTCTCGGTAAGGGGTCATATTGTTGTTTGGTTAGGATAAAATTCAACTATCTTGAACATTGTTATGTAGCCAATGATTCGTGGTTTCAATTCATAGCTTAATAGTGATAGTTTGCTAATTTGCTAGGCATGTTGATTGCATTTTAATGATTGTGTATTCAACAAGAATTTAGCAAATTAACGAACTGTTATCATGGCGAGTTAATTAATAATCGTATTGTATGTATGGAATTGATACAAAGATAGTCGCCGACAAAGTTTGTAATGGAAAAACTAACAGTAACTAACAATTTTAAAATCATAACACCAGCAACTTGTTTTGTTAAAACCGGAGAAGTTTTATTCGTTGGTTGGAAAATAATAAGAATGGATAATCTACAATTTAAATATTTAATCTAAAATTAAGTGTTTAAGGTTTGAAATTGAAGTACATTCTGTGTTATTCAAAAGTAAACTATAAAAGAAAAATACCCAAAGATAAATTGAGAAAAGACATGACATCCGGGCCGCTGTTATGTGGTACTGCTATTACTACCAAGCCTCAATAGGCGCGTTGATTACAGTATAATAATAATGTTCACAGATATTATAAATCATCTCACAGTGTGTTTCATTACATGATTGCACTTATCATAGCACTTTCACGGTGTAGTAAACAAGAGCGCTTAGAAACGCAAGAACCATAGCTTCAGTTTTCCAGACAAAGTTTCGAAGTGTTTATGCCACTACAGACAACGGCAACTTCTTACATACGATAGTATTTTTAAATCTGCCTTCGTCAGTTTGGCCTTCGTCAATGAACCAACCAATCAGGGGTCTAAACGCTTTAACGTTTCGATATTTCTGTGACTATAAAACCGGTTGTACAAACCGTTAAAAGTTGTCCTGTATTGTATATGTTACAAGTTAGTTGACAAAATAACTACTTATATAATTTGGCTCGCTTGTCACACAATCATTTGTTTTTCAATATGTGTGTCGTAGTCTTTTGAACGAATCATGTCATTTTGTACTGTAAGCAGTTATGCCCCATTCACGATCCATGCTTAGGATTAAAAGGCATAATATACTTTACTGCAAATTTAAAACGAAATCATAATTATTTTACTATATAATATGTATTCTGGAGTACATAGATTGCTTCAATCATATAAAGGAAGTTTTTCAGTTTTATTGAATATCTAACACAATTGTTTAGAAATAAATTTTATAGAATCGTATGGTACTAAAATCTGTGGTGTATTAACTTAAATTCTCAGTGTATAAACGAAATTACTTTAACAGCATATAATGTTAGTATTTGTAATATGATAACGAAGTAGCCATTTAAAACGTAATACGTATACTTTAGCCAATCCATACAATAATTCAATGTTTAATTAATAATGGGGGCTACCTTTTTTCGTTACCAGATGTCGCTAGCGTGGATAGCTCGTTCTTTGTCCAATAAGGGATTAGCTCATGTTACACCATTGGACGTTCTCGCCTAGATTAGCGCTAAAGTGAACCAAATATCGGTAGCCCCCATTAAAATGATGCTAAATAGCCATAGAGAATACATTGACTCTAGTTTTGTATCTATCATTGTTCAATGTAGTTTTCATTGAAGTTGAAAACTATTATTGATGTATATAGGTATCTTATTATACTATTAACATTTTGTATAAGTTAATTTTGTATGTATTTTTTATATTGGATTTGTGTTGAGTTTTTGTGTTCGTTTGTGTTTGGAGGTTGCTATGTTTCATGCAATACTCGTCGAGTGTGAAACGAGTGGTTTGTTGGGGCCATGAAAGATAGATTTACAGCATAATAAAGTACACTATTTTTACGTGAGTCTCCTATAAGAATGCTTTCTTGTTACCCAACAACTGCCCGAGTCACCTTACAATTTTGTTTCTTTATTAACTCAATGATTGATTGTTTGAATTGAAGAGTTTGTTTGGAGTGTTAAGTTACAGATGCGCGACCAGTCGTCATCCAGTAGGTTTGTTAGAAAACTTGTTAGAGCTGAGATGAGGCCATAATTAATATATTTTAGTACCCAAGTTCATATAACCTGAGATTATCGATACATTCCTCCCAGTATTGGATTTTTGTGTACCAAATTGTATGTCCATTGTCATCAAACTATTTATATACCATTCATTCATTCATCATACCTCATTATAACTTGGATACTAGTGAAAAAACAGTTTTTAACACAATTTCAAATTGATGTTGTCGTTATTGAATGTAAATGAAAAAATGCCTTTGAAGAGTATTGAACTCTAAATTGTTAAGTGAAATGATAATGAAAGATGAACTATTCAAGGTTTAAAGTTATTAATTTCTTGTTAATTGACTCTGTAGTATGAGTTTATTTCATAACATATTATAATGAAAACAATGTACTCGATATGTTTAAAAAATATTCGAATTGCTTATAGATAAGGAACTCACTATTTTACGATTCCTATTCAATGTACGGTATGGAAACTAGGACCCGTAGATTTGTTATTATTCAAGTTTAGAATTCATTTTATTTGATACATGTTGATTCCAATTTCTGATTCGTTAAATTAGGTTAATTTCTATGATTGTCTTTAGTATAAAACATTCGCTTTTTAAACATGACTTCATATGGATTATTGTGAGCATTTATTTATTGTATTATGTAAATTAATGTTTAAATCATGATGTAATATTAATGATAATAAAGTGCATACAACACTGAATATTGTTTTCGATTGAATTTTCGACTGTTTTTTTTTCGGTGACTGTTCACATGATGTTAAGCAATCGGCGTCACCCATGTATACCAGCAACACTAGAGGAGTTCCAAATGCGTTACCGGCTTTTTGGGGATGAGGATTTTGCGGATTGTTGGGGATTCAGGAATTGAGGAGATTGGATTTGGGGGGAGAGGATTATTGAGCCTCCGGTAATCTCACTCATATGACGAAACATAACGCAAATGTTGTTTTAGCACCTCATCCTAAGAATCCCAAGAAAATCCCAATAATTGGACGTGAGTTCATTTGCTATCAATGTCATCATGGAACAGAATATCTTTTTTTAGTTGTATTATTCAACTGTGATGACAAATGTTTGTCCAAAGCATAGGTATTGCCTTTACTAATTACGTAGAATAATACGAAAACTAGGTTTAAAGTCAGGTCAAGTAAACTTTGGAGCACCATTAATTTTTCAAAATATTAGACAAAAATATCTTACTGGAATCGAACTCAAGTCCGGATTTGTGACCACTTACCCATTATGGCAAAGAAACATTTTCTCGTAATTTTTTAATCTCGTTTAATTGAGATAGCGTCACTGTCACTGCAGAACAAAGTTTCCGAGTTCGATTCCGGGGTTGATTTGATATCGGCCTTCGGATATTCTTAGTTACATCAACTACGATTGTGCCCTGTATGTGGGCAACTGGGCAAAGGCTTACTCGCGATTACATCCAACTATTCACTGGACGATAAATATTGTTAGTCCGTGCTGGAAATTCAACATTTTTTTTTATAATTGGACATGTGCAGACACGTGCCCAATAATAAATATGACAATGACAAGAAATACTAGTGAAAAATGAGCATGCTGTGTTCAGAACACCCATTCAGCTATCTTAGTTAGTCTGCCTAACTGCCTACCGAGAAGTAGCGTTTGCGATTTATTATAGCTAAAACATCAAATAACACCCTGCAAGTTCACAAAATGACAGATCGATTCAATCCACGCCCACACTGATATTAAAGTGTGTAGGTATTCTAGGTATCGAGGCTTGCGCAGACGAGTACTAAGTAAAGGACAAAGGTTCTTGAACTTCATTCCCGTCCCAACCCCGACACGTTGCACGGTGCAGTTCATCTATTATATACTGTCCCGGTGAACTTTGTAGCGCCCAAAATCAATAAATATTGACCTCAGACGAGAATGTCGAAGAAGATTAATTTACTTCGACATTCTCGTCTGAGTACTTAATTAAATACAATACAACACGTGGCCTATGCATTCCCGAATATTCTTGAGCCATTAGATTTCATTAATAGCGTACTTAACTAATATGATTATTCTAAATTACATTTTAATGGCATTATTTTGCTAATAGCAGGTTGCAATAATTAATTAAGTCGCTTACTTAAAAACTACCCATTGATTTGCTTGGCATTTCTTATCTGAATATAGAAGAAGAAACATCGTTATCATCGGATAATTCGTTTCTTGTAGTGTTCGCGTTTGTAAAAAATAAATTAACGTAGAAAGCCTGGGAATAAATATACCTGTGGAAGACCTGAGTGCTGAGCGGGCTGCTAGTACATTTAAAAATAATGTAAGTAGTTTAATATTTCTTAAATAATATTCGTATCCATACAATTATCTTAGTGCTAAAATAATTTATATTAATTAATGTAAAGAAAAAGCCAAAAAATAGTTCGCAATAATATTCAGATTTCACTTTGCATTGAAAGCCGTTGTCGAAAGCAAAAAGTGCCATTACTCCATTAGACAGACATTGACCAACTATTGGATACACCTGTTTAAACAATATTTAAAAATATTTCCATTATTACATCTTCGACAAATTAAATATCATTTTCAGCTTTCGAAAGTTGAGATCAGTATTTAATTTTTATTTAAAATCTGCGCCTATACTTCTATGATCTCGAATACCACGAAAAAGTAAAAATATTGTCTATGGCACAAAATAGAAAGTGATCAACCAATCAAACGGTGGGGCGGACGAAACGAAATGAAAGTCCGCCACATGTCCGCCATATCTACTACATCTTCTTTCTAATAGTGACGTTCATATTATTTTGTGTTAGATAGCGTTATTGTGTAGATATTCGTTGTATAATTTAATTATTTTTTTAGTTTATCTAATACGCGGTGAGTAAGTGTGCAATCTGGATCTGACATATTGATAGTTTTTAATTTGGAACTTGTTTGTCCGCGCCGTGCTTTACGTATTGTCAAAATGGAAAAATCTTAGTTTTAACGTAACTACAGCCTTCTTGTATGTGTTATTTATAAATTGGATCCACTACATTACACTCGTGACGTATTTTGTAGCGTTTAGCGGTGCCTGTTGAGTAATACAATTTTTTTTGGTGTCGGCATTATTAGACGGTGTACCCAATATTTCACAGACCCTCGAAGGCGGAAAACACCATGGAGTCTCCACGGAAATTCAACGATTGTTATTTTTACTACTACTCCACATGCACGAAGGTAAGAAATTATTGGTAATTATATTTCCTAACAAAACTGTAAGTCCTAATGTCATATTGTTTATATTCTGATTGTCTGATAAAAATGATGGAAGCTAACGTGTTATTTAGTTTCAAACAATATTTTATGGTTAGAATGTTTTATTGACATTCAATAAATCCATGTAAAATCACTCAAATTATGTATAAAATTATTACATTACATTGGTGGTACCATATTTTACAATTAATCTAGAGTATTTTGAAAGGTAAAATTAGCATGGATGACCTTTTGTGCATGCTGGCTAAAATAATGTCAGTGGATTGTAAAATGTTTCTAGACTTTCTGTTTTGGATGATGATCTTGAGGAAGTTATGTGAGATATATTACAGCTGTTAACCAATGATTAGAAAAAGCACATTTATGGAAGTCACCAAACTAGTTTTGCTGTCAAAATCTGCTGAAGAAATACCATGTTACACAAGTTGCATATTGCAATTCTAAAAGCTAACTTGATGAAATTGTTACAAAACATGCAAAATACCACAACTCAGGGTGTGTCAAAGTTGCATTTATGCTAATGCAAGTCATATTTCCATTTTAGTTGTTAATTCTTTTAGAGATTGTGTTTTTGAGTTATTAATATAAATTCCAAACATACAATAACAATTCACCTGTAGTTATTTAAATGAAGCATATGATTGTAAGTTTAAGATATTGAATATGTTATTTTATTTGTTATTCAGGGGGACAACTGTGTGTTCCGTCATGAACCATCGGCACTAGGATGTGAAACTATGTGTACAGCTTGGCAGCAGGGCAAGTGTCTTGATAAACGCTGCAAATTACGTCACATGGAACTGAGGGTAAGTCCAACTTGGAATACAGACCAAAATCTACTTTGTGTACTCAGATCTAGTGTACATTTTTGTTTGTCTATTATAATATTTTATTTATGTATGTAGAGAGGGAATATGTGTTATTTATACACAACTAACATAAATCAATTTGTTGTTAAACCATAAACCAATAACTTTTTACTTTAGACATACAACAATTTAGTGTTTTAAGGTGTGTCTAGAAGCCTGAATAAACCAGTTTGTACCTATTAAGATATAGTAGTAGAATGTATTTCATTGCATGGTATTTAACATGGTATTAAAATCTTTTACAGTTTTCGTTATCTACACTAAATTCTGTGGTCATTCAAGTAGTTAATAATAGTGTTAATTCTTGTATTTAAAAAATATCATGTAAGTTTTTATGTACCATAAAACATTCATGTTATATGCATTTCGTTTTACAAAACTCTTAAAATACCACATGTAAACGGAATAAATGTGATTGAATTTTCTAATTTATTTTGTTAAGTAAGAATGCTGACTGTAAGATTATGTGTTTACATAAATCTATGAAATATGTGATCAGCTGTGCAAATTGTATTTGCTTTTGTGTTGTTAGCACTACAGATTACTCTATTGGTTATCAAGCGTTTAGATTTTTGCAAGTTTGACCAATCATTGAGTTTTTTGGTTGTTAAGGATTATTTTAATAGAGGAAGTGAATAAAATCTAGAAATATGAAGACTGATATTGTAGAAAGAATTTGACAACATGACTGGCTCAGTGACTCGGCAACCAGTTGCTGCACAATCTGACGCAGGTTTGATTTCTATATCAATCTATTTGTGTGATTGGCAGAAGAACAGACAATTAGAGATTTGGATAAAGAGAGTCCAATAACATACATGAGAACATAAATGTTTTGACTCGAATAACATTGGATAGTAGGTTTCACAGTCAATTTATTTTATAACTAACATAATGGATCGAGTTTAAAGCCTAATTTGTATGTCTAGCGTAAAAAAATTGATGTATGTATGTAATTACAGTTTATTACAGCTATATGCAATAGCCATTTTATTTTTAATATCATACATTACATGTATGTTAGTCCGCTGACATTTTAATTATTAGATTTCTCAATCAAAGGTCAGGTATTTCATTACTAGTTCAGTAAGGTGGCCTAGTGATTATTGTAACATACATTTCAAGATATGCACGATGTTTTATCGATAACAATTATATCATGTGAGGCAATATTCTTTATCTTAAGCTTTTGCAGTAAATTACGTTTACGTTATTTGATATATGTGGTATAAAATACTGATATGACGTCAGTTTACCAAATGTCTGAAATGACTTGGGAATTTAGAAATTGCAAAGAAATGACTGTGTTTTGATCTCGTCTTGCAGAGCTGATCAGGATGACGTTGCCGTTTGTATTCTCTGTGTAGTCTTCCAGTAAAATCAGTAGTTTAGATAAAGTAATAAGTTAAATTCTTTTCAGCGGACTACAATCATCCTTAACAAGGAGTTTGTTAGCAAACATGGCATGGTGTTTTCTCTGTCTGAGCAGCAGATACCAGGCTGTGTTGTCAAGAACTAATCTATAATTAAATATGTTATAATAAATTGTTTATAGAAAAACCGCAAGCAGATCCCATGCT